CCAGCCCGAAACTCTGACATCTTTCATCATCGTTGGCAGCTTGTTTGCAACCTACAGCGACCAATTTTGTACCATATCTTGATCAGAGATCTCTTTTTGGAACAATTTCTTTCATTAAAGAATTTAATTTTGACATAAAATAAATCAAGAATGCTAAACTATCCGTTTTGTTGCTGGTTGGCACATGGTTAAGTCGTTTCCTTGAGACTTTCTACACCAAAAATTCACACAGTTGTTGTCTTTCTCTACGATTTGGCATCGTCGTGAAATGTAAACTGCTTTCCAGCCTTGTACTTTAGTACTTCTAAAGCTATGACAGTAATAAAATGTGGAAACCAACGCTTTTGATATTAAGAAGGGCTGGGTAAGTAACTTGTTCTGTTTTTTAGCCTTTCTAAAATCATTGTTTGCAGATCAATAGCCGGTTTTGTTTATGGCTCGTGGTCCGGATGCCTTTTTCTATGGGTTTACCGGTATAATAAACCATAGGTTTTTGACCAATCAGATCAAGCGTACTATCTCAATTATTTTATAAAATATCATATCGTATCGTATCGTATCGTATCGTATCATATATCATATCATATCATATCATATCATATTAATATTAGTATATACACTGTGATCTTGGTGATTTAAGCAATCTGATTGGTTCACTTTCTCGGACTATTCAACAATATTCACCTCCTAGCGAGTGGATAATGTGTGAGCTACATTTTTTTCCCATTTTTTTAGAGAACGTTTTTTTGAAAGTTGACAAAATTCTAGGGTTGACCTTTTTAAGGCAAAAAAAAAAAAACTTGCAAGGATTTAAACAGCCTTTTTTCATTTACTGTAGCTGAGTTTTGTGCTCGATGGATTGTTTACAACTCCCGTTTATTCGCGTAAAAGAAGCCGTTTCGTGAACTCAGAATTTCCTAACAAGAAAATTTGGCCCAAAAATCGAAGTTTATTTATGGCAAACAAATTTGAAAGCAATTGTTTGCAAAAACTCTACTTTTCAAGTAAATAGGAAAAAGAATGGTACAGGAAGACGACGTCTTACCTCGAGAGTAACCAGCATTAAAAATATATTTGCCATAAAAGTTGAAAATAAACTTTCTAATTGAAATTAATGATTCAGCCAGAAAAAATAATGATGACCACACTCCAGTGTGAAATTGAAAGACGATTGAATTTATCGAAAACGTAAGTAAAGTGATGTGAAAGCAAATGCGCGTCATAACACTGTTTTGTTACTTGTAAATGGAGTAAACCTACCCGCTCCCCCTGAACATGGACACATAGGCGGCTTCATTGGTTCTTTTTTTGAATGTTATACAACCTTTCGTTTGGGTGGTCCAGTCGTTCATCGCAGCTGCGATCTGCTTTTTTGCCAAAGGGTCATCTAAAAAGAGTAAATTTTAAATAAACAGATTTAATAATAAAAAAAGAGTATTATTGAATGAAAGAACCTTTTTTGTTTCTGCGTAGCATTCAAATGTACCGATGTGGCTATCACCAAAACGTTTGATTTTCTCTCAGTTATTTTGGAAAAATTCTTTTGATTGAGTGAAATCAATGAGCACTACCGTGAATACAGTGCAATGACCAAACTGCAAGTACGTCTCAGTGTCCTAATAAAGTGGCCCTTGAAACATTGTAAAATAGGATTCTTAATGGTGTTATCTATTAGTTTTCTTTACTGTATAGAAATATTGTGAAACTTCGTGATTAGTTCTATATTTGTATGCGTTCTCCTTTGTCGAACGCAATTTTCTACGGTTTGGAATATTAGCTTGTCATTTCGTTTATGGATTTTCATGCAAATACGAAGGCATGGCATTTATAATCGCTGTTGCAGTTCACCTTACCCACCTAATGACGATTCAATATCATACACAAGCACTCCTTTGGGCCAAAGTTGCGCAGGAACTGAACCTCTTGATAACTGGTCTGGCAAAAACTTCATGTCGCCTTCAATTAATTCCTCATCTTCTCTGCTGTACAGATTCTCTGTTTAGGGTTGAAAGAGAATTTTAAGCTTACTGGATTCGGAAGACACAAATTACCAATGACCAATTAAAAAGCTTTCTTGAAAAGCAGGGCGTGTTGTACTTGCTGCATATTTAACCAAAAAAGCAATCAATTATATTAAGTGGCCATACGAAGATTTTTTAACAGTTAAAAAAAAGAAAATTAAAGAATAACTGTATCGAGAGTTTGAAGCCGCCATCTCATCTTAATAAATATTTCATCTCTACATCCCATTAAAATATTTTATCTCTACATATGATCTTGTTAATCGCCAAAAAGGTGCATATGTGATCATGTGAAAAGCCGCATTGAATGAGTTTAATAAAATCATTGCGTTCGCAGTCTTTACACAAAATCCATCATTTTAAGATTGCTCAGAACTATCCCTCGGAAACATCTCATGCAAAAGAAAATTTTACTGTCTAAGTTAAAATTATATTAAGGAACTCTATCTCAAGGAAGCCTAATTAAAGAGCCGTTTTAATCAAGAGTGAGCCGCTATCCCTGAGAACTAAACTCCACCCATGGCTCTTTGGATGGTCCATCCATAGCATTTTATCAACACTTCGACACCTAGAAACATATTTCAGTCATCTAGTTTTCATTATTCTTGGACACTAGCTTTACTCATATTTTTCCTGTACGGGTCATCCAAGAGTTATTTTGCATTTAAAATAAGCTGTCGTTAGACATGCAATTTTTAATGTTCACATGTTATTTCTCTATGGGTAGTTTAGTGTAAATTTGCTTACTCGAAGGAGGATACCTTAGTGGTACTTAATTTCGCTATTAAAAAAGTCGCGAAATTAAAATCCCGTGAACAAAAATCCTCGCAAAATTTTAAATACGCAATATTTATATACTCCTATAGGAAATTACTGGTGAAAAAACCCGATTAATAAACATGTAATAACAACAACCGTATTCAGGATATATGTCGACAAATACCCAAATTATTGACTGGTTCTAATTACTGATGAGTTTCATTTTGCATCTTCCGATCTTATGCAATTAAAATAAGGAATATTTTACAAAGATTTCACATCATGGATTAGAGGATCTTGCGTTCATCTTCACCTTCTTGTGACAGTTTATCCAGAAATTTTTAAAAGTTTAAACTTTTTGAAAAATGAAATAAAAGTGAGCACGCTTGAATCGCGAAATTTATGCCCTTTTTTCTATCTACCTATTGAAATCGCGGAAATCAAAAACCCCGCGAAATGCTGCCTGCCCAAAATCGTGAAATTATAATTATGATAGTTATAATTATAATTATAATGTAGCTTAAATATAAATATGTCATGCGATCACAATATTTTGCCTATGCTGTTCGTATCGAAATTTCATACCTTCTGGAGAAAAAGCTAACGCTGATACGAACCAAAAATATTGAGAACCAAGCTTCCTTTCATGATGAGCTGTAACTGTTAGCTAAGGAAAGCAGGATTTGAGTCAGTTTAGAGAGATAGATTACTGTTTTAAGTAGTAGTTCAAATTTAAATATTTCTTCACACCCACGAAAAAACCATTTTTTATATTTACCTTGCTGAATTTGACTTTGAAAGCTGGTGGTTTTGTTCTTTTTGTTCTCGTATTATTGGAACTATCGGACGGGTAGCTTTTTGAGCCATCAAAGATCATCAAATACTTACTTTTACTAACAGTGTTGAGTTTTTGTATTGTCAGATCAAGGTTAAGGTCATGTTACACTACATCAACATTTCTTTAGCCTCTGTAGCAGCTTATATATAGCATAAACATTTTCATCAACCCAAGTGGAGCTCATTCCCCTACCCTACCCTAGCCGTAATCCTTCCCTTTTTGTGTCATGCAAGAGAGAAACTTGTGCTCGCAGGGTGTGATTGTGACAAGGTATGAGTGTGACAAGCGACGCCAACTACTTATATATTAAATGCTAACAGCTGGCCCGATGCAAGAGAGAAACTTCTGCTCGCAGGGTATGATTGTGACAAGCGACGCCAACGACTTCGTTCGTACGACGCTAAAAGCCATGCAAGAGAGAGACCTCTGCTCGTAGGGTAATCATTATGTAACCAGTCCCTTCTTTCTTTTCCTTCAACTTTCGCACTCTCCCGAATTACAAATGAACGTTCTGATTCCTCTTAAAAGATCAAAATGCCCTTTCTATGGAGTCAAATGAATATTTTTTTTCCACATTCTTTTTGACTGATTTCTTATAGAAACAAGTGGCCTGATGCATATAAGGGATGGACAAATTTACTTAAAATAATTCGATTCGATGATGAGGATTGCTCAGGATCCTTTAAAAAACCATCCCATTAAAATGTTCGGGTAGGATTTCTGTGAACATACTATAAAAAACAAATTTACGCATTCTCTATTATCCAAACTCAAACGTTTTAAAGTTTAACATTTTATTACACAGCTGCATTGCAAATGAACAGCATTTCTTGATGCTAAATTTAATAAGACAAACGGTGCCCATATCATGGGGTAACTCGGGTTAAATTCGACAAGTCGATATCTGATAAATTTTTAACGTTACTGTCAAATAGACCTTTTTCGTTAAGCGGTCGTTTTTTGTCAGTCAAAATGAAGACTAAGAAAACTTTTAAGTTTTACACTCTTAAAAGAGTGTTTAGCAAATTGCTTTTTACCTTCTCTGATCTTTCTCCACGCTCTTTCTATTTTTCCTTCCCTTTTCCCTTCGCTAGTGTGACTTTTGGGGTCGCTTTTTTTAAATTTATGTTTAAACTTTGTCAGATCTAAGAGGGGAATCCGGTCAAAAGCCTTGTTTTTCGGTTATATCGCCCTTTTCCTTCCAAATCTAGCCAAGTTTTCGTTTAATCAAAATGGTCGTAGTAATTGGTTCAATAAATGTGTGAGAAGTTTGAATGTTTTTCAAATCTCTTTTTTTAATGAATAAACTTTTGGGGAGATGTTTGAAATTATTGAAAATTGGAAAATATTGTATGTAGAGGATGCTTACCACCGTTTTCCTTGATACGCGACTTTTCAAATCGAAACACCCGCTGAAACGTTTCCAAAATCTCTGTCAATCATACACGTCATACCATATATGGAAGTGTTAATACCTCCACGCGCGACGGAAAGATGGCGGATTCGACAGCAGATTGTACGTGCTTCATAGTCTGCCGTGCTTCAATGACGTGATAAACTGTTTTTCTTCTTTTTCAAATATAACACATGCAATATGTACCTTTCTTCGTGTAAAATCCATTTTCTTCAATAGCTTAGCGATCGTGGACACGTGAATTGTCTTTCCCAGTGCGAACTGTATCCATTCCTGTATTTCATCCTCGTAAATCTCTGGATATTGCTGCATTACCCTTCTTATGAATAACACGTCCTGTGCTAAGTCCAGGTGAGAAAAACAATGGTTATGTATTCGTTTGATACAATTAGGCTCATTTAGAGAAGTGATTACAAAAACCTCAGTTCAAATCGTAAGCTTACTTACCTTCCAACTTTCTCACTCTACCCGGCCGTGATTGATAATGAACTGTTTTTGTGTTCTGGTAGAGATTTCGAATCTTTTTTACAAACGTCTTCCCTACGTGAAGTAGTCTAGCAACACGTTCGACAGTAAATCCCTGAACGAGTAAATACACTACTCGCCAACGCAAATTTAACGAATAACTTGCCACCATGTTTACATGTAACTTCGACCGGCCACCATATTTTAAATTTTCAGGCCCAGTCCAACACTTCCATATATGGTATGGCGAGTATGATTGACGGAAATTTTGAAAACGTTTCAGCGGGTGTTTTGATTTGGAAAGTCGCGTATCAAGGAAAACGGTGGTAAAATTAAAATAAGAAGGGAATTATTTGTAGACAAATACCAGATACTCCACTAACCATACAAGGTGCCTCTGAGCTCATTAGCGGACTAATTGATATTTTTGCACGGCATCTGGCGGCACATCACAGAATTTGGAATTGAAGGGCAAATTCCTAGAATATCTTCGCCAGTTAAGCTAGAGAAAAGGTGTTAAAAAACCTCAGGATCCAAAACAACACGTCAATCAAAATATCACTTGGACCTTTTCGCTAATGAAGAGCTATCACGCGGCTAAGCTTGAATTAAACATATATTGAAATAGGAACTCGTGTCAATAAAGTATCAGAAGTGAGTGGGAATCGCTCCTGGTTAAAAAACTGGTTCACAGGGACATGCATCTCTTCTAGTTAAGAGAAGGGAATCAGAACTGCTTTTCATGCAGGAACAGGTTTTCTTCGGGCTAACTACAAAACTTCAGCTTATTTTACTCCTTGACATTGTCAAAGCTCATTTTGTAAAGATAACTTTTTCCGCTTTATCAGCTTTTTTTATATTCTGTTCCATTAATGTTTAACCTCCCTCAAAAAGTCAAACAATATAAAAGTTATCGTTAAAAAAAGCGTTTCACCTGTTTTCGTGAATTCGCTCCCCAAAAATCACTATGATCAAAGGACAGGGCAAAATTTCCAGGAGAGAGACATTAATTTTTTTTCCCACGAGAGAAAATGCAATGATTATTATTAATGTAACCATCAGGTATACTCTACCCAAGAGTTTACGGACAGTAAATGCAGTGATTATTATTAATGTAACCATCAGGTATGTTCTACCCACGAGGTTACAAAGAGAAAATGCAATGATTATTATTAACGTAACCTTCAGGTATGTTCTACCCACGAGGTTACAGAGAGCAAATGCAGTGATTATTATTAAATGTAACCGTCAGGTATATTCTACCCACGAGGTTACAGAGAGCAAATGCAGTGATTATTACTATAAATGTAACCATCAGGTATGTTCTATCCACGAGGTTACAAAGAGAAAATGCAATGATTATTATTAACGTAACCTTCAGGTATGTTCTACCCACGAGGTTACAGAGAGCAAATGCAGTGATTATTATTAATGTAACCATCAGGAATGTTCTACCCACGAGGTTACAGAGAGCAAATGCAGTGATTATTATTAATGTAACC